TCAGAGGCACAGCTTTCCCTTGATCTTAGCTGATGAGCAAGAAAATGGGAATCTCTAAAGGACCCAACATTTCATTCCTCCATTATATCTTCAGTGACTCAGCCTGTAAATAAGAGGTTTATGGGTGCTGGAGAGCCAGCTGGAAGCTACCTTTGTCTCATACACTTCCTTTTTTTTTTTTTTATTTTCCTTTTTTCCAAATGCCTCCGGCACTGGAATGTTTCTTTGAGGATTTCTAGGGAGAGCAGTCAACTGAGAAAAATGCTGCCCTGCAGCAGGGAGCATCGTGTCACCGTGATCCTCCTCGTCATCAGGATGTGCACCCTGCACCTGCCCCCAGAGCTCTGACTCAGCCTTAGCCCAGCTAAGGATAATGACAGGATAAGGATGGTTCACATCCCACTGAGCCTCTTGTAATTTGGGGTGCTTAAAGGGGAATTGCACCTTGAGTCTTGACCCATCCCTGGAGGTGCTCGAGGCCAGGTTGGGTGGGCTTGGAGCAATCCGGGATAGTGGAACATTCCCTGCCCCTGGCAGGGAGTGCAGTCAGATCATCCTTGAGGTTCCTTCCAACCCAAACCATGCTATGGTTCTGCAGGGTGGGGATGCACCAAATTCAACATTTTTTAAGGTTTACTCTATATTTATTGGGGTATAAGTAATGGAAGTAGCTTATTTGCAAGGGCCTGATTTTATCCCTTCTTTCATCCTGAACCAGTACATCGATATTTCACTTGCTGGTGTCTCTGTCAAGAAGTCCAAGGAGAGGAAAATAATTTTTTTATTAATGGTGAAATCGCCTTCATTGCCATTCCCTCAGAGCATTTGGTGTTGAGTGAGGCCACCTGTCAGGAGACCTCCAGGCTGGAGCCACAGCTGAAGGTTCCTGACAGGAGGTGACAGGTCTGGTGACACGGGACAGGCACAGCTCACCTTTAGTAGGCTCTCTTTAAAACTTCTGAGTGTTTTAAACCAAAACTTCTAAGAATATAATCATTTGTTTTGCTTCTCAAATTTGTTTTACAGTGTTTGGCATCATGATACTCTCGCTTGTAGAACATGCTCATGGGAATTCAGAGGCATCAACAGTCATCTAAAATGTGATTCCTTTGGGAAAAGCCCCATGATCTTAGGTCAGGGTGGCCATACCAGTAAAGGCTTGTGACATGATGCAGCCCTTGCTGTGACAGATTGGCTGTTAGTGAGTGTTAAACATGCACAGAGCCACCCTGACAGAGCAGAAAGCTTTATCCTGCTGCAGATAACAAAACCAAACTGACAGTTATTAAATAAAAGATAAAGAAATTGCCAAGATAAAATTCTCTTTAAATAAAGTGAAGGAAAACACATCACTTACAAAACTAGTGACAAATCTGAAAATAAAGGACAGAAAACAGCTTTTGGAGGAGCATGTGAATGTGATTCTCCTGAAGTCAGTGACCTCAATGGGATAAAGCTGGTAAATTAAATGAGCTAGAAATAAAAATCCTGGCTAGGCGTAAGTTACTGGAGCATACCAGGGCTGTATATCACCCCTATATTATCATTCAGACAGCAAATCCTAAAATCAATGATTGACATATGATGATGGCTTTGGAACTTTCCATAAGGCCTTGGAGTGGAATATGTATATTTTATAGGACTCCAGGGTTTCATATATCCTAATTCATAGGCACCAAGGAGTGACTAAAGATCTCAGGCACTAACTGACAGGAAAACTACTGCAGGATAAATGGGATAAATCCATCCATATAAAGTTGAATGCCTCCATCCTACAATCCTGTCCAAACACAGCAGGACTCATTCCTTATTGCTCCTTGGAAAAGTGAGTCCAAGCACCTTCCTGAGGCTGGAGCATGGCCTGCCCTTCTCCCCTCTACACCTTTCCCAGTTGCACTTAAATTTGGGAATAGCTGCCTTGCTATACTTGGCCCCGAGTTTTCCAATACAAAATTACCCGGAATGAAAGAACTGGAATTTCAGACTTCACAACATTACCAAAATCAATCTGGAATTCAGCTGGGAACAGAAAGTATGAGGGCAGTCAGACTGTGATGTTACATCCCCTCTTACAGCCAAGAGTAGTTAAGACAGAAAAATACAATATCTTTAGGGCTAGTAAACCTTTCCAACTAGTGATCTTATTCCAGCTATTCAGAAGGGAATAGAAATCCTGATTCTTTTCCAAACCCTGATTAATAAGAACCAGCTGAATCCCAGCAGCAATGCTAGCATTTAGTTTTTATTCAGGCTCATAATTTTCATTTATACTCTCCTTTTTCACTTTTCTACAACTGCACAAATAAACTTGAACACAGGCGATTTTTAGCAATCGCACGTGTTGTAGTGTAAGACATCAATGTAGTGACTCCAAAAATGATGTAGACAACAAAAATGAGCTGGGATGTCATGATCAGATTCCCAAAGGTAGACTCCATCATCTTCAGTGTTTCTCTGGATCATGAATTTGGAAAAGAACATTCTGTAAGGACAAGGAGCAGCCACAAATTATGGCCATGACTTTTCAGACTTTCCCGTTCTATTAATTATTTACATCCAAAAGGAATTTTATCTTCTACAAATCTTCCAGTGTGTTTATAACTATTTTAAATGACTCAAGGATATTTTAATGGAGCAGGAATTCTGAGAAGTTCCAAAGGGAAGCTGAAGGGTGTCTGTGCTTGGCAAGTCAGAGTACAGAAGCATGCAGCAAAGGATAGTTGAGAGAACTTGAAAACCTCTGTTCTACTGAACTGAGGACCTGGCTGCACCTGATTAAAAGTTCTGTAGCTGAAGCAATTCAAACAGATGTGTTGTTGTTTTGTTTTTTTTTTTCCATTAAAAAACCCCTTAGGGATATAGACAAAAATCTACAAAATTAAATCTTATGACATGGAGGTGCTCTTATGTTCACTTAGAGTGCTGAGATAGGGAAGAAACAGTCAATACTGGAATGGAATATTGCTGTGCTTGTGTAGGATTTTTCCATCCAGAAATGTCGAGTGCTTTTACAAACACTTAATAAAATGATCCTCCCCACTTGCTTATGGTCAGTAGAATTTACTTCTGTAGCATGTGAAGAACCCAAAGAATAACACAGGATTCTTGCCAAGCAGTAGCAATGTTCCTCTTCTCCATTGCCCACCTCCTTTTGTTTTCTTTTAATTTCTAGGATATTCTTTCCCATTTTTAAATCTATTTTACTTTCATGAGACCTACAAAGTTCAATTGCCTATTTAGGGAATGAATTCACTCTCTTATGATTTACTTCACATTTCAATAGGAAAATCATGACAAAAACTCCTAAAATGACACCTTTAGAAATCAAATTCCTTATTTTTATGGCAGCTGGAAATGGGTATTGACCCCAAAGTAGTCATAGTCATTCTGTGTCCTTATTGTAACTCACAAGGCACAAGCATAATACATGAAATACTTGAAATACAGGCATGAACTATTGAAAAATGTTAATATTTTTCCTTAAACCAGCATACCCCAAGGTGAATTGTGTGTACAAAAAAACTCAATCATTGGGCTGTTGCTCAGTAGCTGTTTGATTTCTGTATTCTTTAACATATCCTGTACATTTCAGAAGTATATTTCCATATTTTCTGGACAACTGGACATAAGCTTTGTGTCCTGCTGTACAGGAGGTGACCTTCAAGATTCAGGTAGATATTTGTCTATCTGCTCATTGCAAAGCCTGAGTTTTTTCTGCAGATTGTAAAGATGTGGTAATGCTCAAACCCTTGTATTCCACCTGCCATTCCCATTTGAAATTGAGTTCAAAACAATTTCTTCAGAATTCCTAAGCAATCCACTACAGAGATGTGAAATAAAGTGGGTTTTAAACTAAGCAGATCTAAAGAAGTAGTGATATAGTAATGTATTATAATTAAAAAAAATATATTAGGTAAAAATCTTAGTCTTAAATCTAAACTAAGTAAATACTTCATCTGGGTGCAAGAAAGACTTTAAGCTTTGAAGTTTATTTGCTACTTGCTGGTGGCTTAAAAATTTAGTTACCAAAGAGGTGGAAAAAAGGGTTTTCTTTCCCTGCACAGCAGGAACCTTTTAGATGTGGTGTAGTTTTGAAATGAGAGGGTAAAACCTCCTAAGAAACAGAGTAGCGATTTCCACAAAAAAAAATCTGGAAACACCACCAAATAAAACAAAGTAAACCACAGAAACACTGAGTTATCAGATTGCAGTGTCATCTTGTAATGTTCTCTGCAAGCACAAGTAGTTCTTGCAGGAGAAATAGGAGTCTCCTGACATCTAGGGTAGTTTACCAAGAAAAACACAAGGTTTTTACAATTGCTTAGACCTTTCAGATATTCTTTCTAATGCTGTGGCTCATCTGAACACAATCAGAGAAAGGAAACAAGCAAATGGGGTTTCACCTTCCAGTTCCAGCACTCCAGACCATGGTGCTGCATCGTTTGCCATGAAGAGACAGAGCTCGTTTGTAAACTGTGGTGCTGCTGGAATTTTTACCCCTGGGCTTTCATACTTTATACGTCTGTACTCAGCACTTACTGAAGATTAAAGCCTGCTTTCTATGGAAGTGTGTTAACACCATGGAAAATGCTCCATACCTACATTTTTCCCCTGTATGTTTTTCTGACTTCAGCCTGGGAGATCATCTTGATTACTTGGCACAGAGTAAAAGCACTGCAAAGCACAAGTGCTCAGGATGTTTGGGAAACCGATCCTATTTCTTCACATGCTTTTATTTGCCTTATTGTCCTTATTTGTTCATTGTATTTTAGTGTGTGTATGCCTCAAGTGGTAGAAAAACAAGAGTGGTTTGCCAGGGTTTGTAATCCATGTACCAGCTCCTTCTCTCTTTACCAAAACCGTTTTCTGCACCTTTCTTTATGGAGTGGATGGATTAAAAAGCAGCAGGAGAGTGAGAGCGAGATCTGTTCTCTGGCTCTGTCACTCCTGCCCCTGGTCATGCCTATGTGTTGACATCCTCTGTTTTGTTTCCTCTCCAGCTCCAAGTGCTGCTCCACGTGCTCTCTGACTCCTTTATCTGCAAGGCTCCTTCCTTCTCCTCTCACACATTGAGTCTAGCTGCCTCAGAGCTGCTGCCCCACACAATCTTCTCTGCACCAGACCTCTTCAGCATCTTGGCTTTCATCTGCTGTGGAAGGTATTTACTCCTTGCTGTGTAATTAACTCATTGCTCTATTAACTCACAAGGCCAGACAACTACTGGCAGCCCTAAAGAGGGGTGGTAGAAAAATGTAATGGATTCTGTACATTAGCAACAAAATATATATTCAGACAAACTAATCCAAGTTGTGTTTCCTTGCACTGAGTTAGCACAGAGATTGATTTAGGGGTTACTTCATTCCTGTGCTCTGAGGATCTCGGTTCTCCTTCAGCTGCGGCCCTGACAGCAAAGCCGTGAGGCCAGAGAAACACAGCCCAGATTCAGCACCCTCAGTATCCCGAGTGTGTCAGGCAGCTGCTGCACAACAGATCTGCTCACGCTCCCAGGGAGCAGAGACAGTTTGAACTGGGGCCATCTTTCAGCTGTACATTGTGGGCTGCTGGGCGCGGACCCAGAGAGCAGTGAGGAGTAGGAGTTTTCCATCTTTGTATTATGTCAGAGTCTGAGGGGAGGCAGCTGCTGAGGATGTTTTAAGATAGGAGGTTTTTATTCCCTGCTCAGCCATTTAAGGTGAAATGAAATTTAAGGTGACATTTCAATGTGGGAAGGGGTTTGTTTGTCTGGATCTTGAACCTCTGGAGCTCTGGAATATCCTCACCTCACACAAAGCCTGAAGGATGGTCGGTGAAACACGCAGAGAAGTGAATGATGTCGCAGTGTGCAGGATGTCCTCCCTTGCTGGGAGCCTGCAGCTGTCTCTGGAATAAATTCCTGTGTCTTTGAACAGCTCTCCTGACCACACAGTCCCTCTGTGCAAAGGGACAATTCAACAGAAAAGTGTCTGTACAGGAAAGATAGATCTTTTCTTGTGCTGTGGGAATCCTTCAAGCACAGAACTGAGCACAAAGAAGTTTAAATGAAGTTCAACAACCTTTGCTTAAGAACAGGAAACAGGGAGTTGGACTGACCTGACAGTCTCAGCAGCTCTTATAAATCTGTGTTTGGCAACTCACTTGTGTGAGAAGTGTTTGAAGGGTCTTTACATTTTCTGGCATTATCTGGTGGTTGAAAGCATTTTTTGCAACAGTGCAAATTATAATGGGAAAGATGCTCCTTTTTCCTTTGAACTGTGCTCTTGAGTGTTTCTACCACTAGAAATTTCTAGAACTATTTTCTAGAACTCTCTTTGGCCCTGCTCTAAATCTGAAGAACTCTGAATCCCTGAATTGCAACACAGTGCTATCACTGATGGCATTGGATATCTTTGGACTACTCACACTTCAGCTTTCTGTGGGGTTCACTGACTTCCCTGGTATGTGGACTTGGAAATTAGGGAATTCTGATAAAAGTAGGCCAGGATTAGATTATTACTATTCCTGGGTTTACCAGCATGTTATTTTCCTTGCTACCTCTTATTATATTAGATATGAACCTTTTTTTCCCATTTCCACAGCAAGAACAATCAGTGGATTGAATGCAGGAACTCTTAGACTGGGAAGACTAAACTGCTGTAATGAGTTTCCTCAATCTACATTCACCAAAAGAATCTTGCAGAAGCTGATAAAACAAAATCCCTTAGTGCTGTGCCACAACTTCAGAGAAAATCGTGGGGAAGAGTGAGGGCAGGAGGGGATTCTGAAAGCTGTGGAGTGGTACTGTGATACAGCAAGGAGAAGCTCCAGAACTGAAAACTTTGTAAATAAAATTTCAAGGCTGCAGCTGGTGAGTGAAATTCAGTGTGAAGTTCACAGGATCATTAAGGTTGGGAAAAACCTTTAAGATCATTAACCCAGCTCTGTCATGTCCACCACTAAACCATGTCTCCAAGCATCACATCTACATGTTTCTTGGACATTTCCAGGTATTCCACTCCACCACTGCCCTGGGCAGCCTGTGGCAATGCCTTCAGTGAAGAAATTTTCACTAATATCAAATCTTCCTCTGGCACAGCTTGAGGCCATTGCCTCTCCTCCTGTCCCTGAGAGCAGGGTCTGAATCTCCCCCTGGCTGCCCCTCCTGTCAGGGAGTTGTGCAGAGCTAGAAATTCCCCCTGAGCCTCCATTTCTCCAGGCTGAGCCCCTTTCCCAGCTCTCTCAGCTGCTCCTGGGACTCCTGACCCTTCCCCAGCTCCATTCCCTTCCCTAAACATGCTCCACTCAGATCATGCTTCTTACAGTTCAGAAAGGAAAAAATGCTGCAGAAAAATGCATGTATGCTCCTGACAGCACAGGATGTTGGGAACCTTTGGGCAGGGACACCTTCCACCATCCCAGGCTGCTCCAAACCCCCTCCAGCCTGGCTTTGGACACTCCCAGGGATCCAGGGACAGCCCCAGCTGCTCTGGGCACCTGTGCCAGGGCCTCCCACCCTCCCAGGGAACAATTCCTTCCCAATATCCCATCCATCCCTGCCCTCTGGCAGTTTAAAGTCATTCCCTCTCATCCTGGCACTCCAGGCTGTCCAAAGTCTTCCCTTTAGGCACTGGAAGGGGCTGTCAAGTCTCCCTGGAGCCTTCTCTTTTCCAGGCTGAGCATTCCCAGCTCTCCCAGCCTTTCCTTGATCCCACTACAAAATGGAGCCTGTTTTTCAAACCAGTGTGGATAAAAAGTCATGGCCTGCATGGAAGAGAGCTATCTTTGTGCAAGCTTTGATGTTAAAAAATAGCAACTTGAACTCACAGATGTACTGATTACCCTGCTAAAAGAAGATGTGGAATCTCTTCTCAGAATTACAGCATTTTAATTAGAAGAATGTGAGCAAAGCCTTAATCTTGTTAGTAGGGATAGATACGGATGAGGCAGAAACAAAATCCACAGCAACATAGTCCAAACACGAAAAGCTGTGTCTTGGAGGTTGGTAACTGCACCAGAACTGCTCCCTGCCACTGCTTTTCCTGCAAGACTAAGCTTGACAGTGACTAAGTTGGAAGAAATAGCTCTTCTGCCTTGTAGCACTGAGCTACATCAGACACAGCTGTTTGAAAAAAAAGATGAAATGTGGGAAAGGTACCTCAGACTCCCAACCCAAATCCACAGATACTTGATTATTCTCTTTAAAGTTCTTTTTAGCCCTTCTAAATTCTTGTGACATTCAAGGATCAATAAGAATTTCATCTGTAGCTGATTCTGACAGATGTTAATCTTTGCCTTGGCTTTGCAGTCTGCTTGAAATAGTACTTGTTCCTTCATGTCAGGCCTCTGGCAATGCTTACAGAGCCAGGATTACAGTCTCCAGTGAATCCCATTTGTACTGTCATTAACTTTCTAAACTGTTCCCCATAGCTGGCAACCTTTCCATGCTTGGAGATCTACTTAGTGGGAAGCTGGGAGAGTGATGGGTTTTGCCTGTCTGGAATCATTGTGCCTTTAATTGAGATTTGTTTAATTTTGTCATTAAGTCCATTTACATTGTAGGCATTTCATGACCATGATTACACACTGTGCCTGTACCCTGGCTGTATTTTGTACCATTTGCCTATTAAAGAAAGAGAAAAGAAGCTCTGTGTTTACTTAAGATTTTTACAAGTAGCCTTTTTTTTTTTTTTTTTTTAATTTCCATTAACTTAGTTAATAAATTAGTCTAATTTTTGGATTGGAAAAAACAGCTCATCTGCAGATTCTCTGCTGTGTTCGAAGGAAGTGATTAGATTTATTTGGCAAAATACAGGTGAGGATTCAGTACCTGCTTGTCTGGAAGGATTTGTCAGAACGCATAAACATGGGAATTATGGTTGATTCCAAATTAGGGACAAATCTCAATCAGAAAGCAACAGGAATGGGAACATTTCTTCTGTAAATGCCAAGGACTTTATGGTGAACAGAAATCCCTGTATCCCCCAGTCAGGGAGGTGTGGGAGGGCTTGGAGCAGCCTGGTCCAGTGAAAAGAGTCCCTGCCCATGGCAGGGGTGGAATCAGATGAGCTTTGAGGTCCCTTGCAGTTCAGAGCAGTCTGGGATCTGTAATTCCATGATTCTCTGACAGATCAGGGGTGCAGGAATTCCTTCTCTCCAAATGTGAGTCAGGGGTGACCAAAGCTGAGTTCCACCACGAGCTCGACAGTGATCACTTCAGCAGCTGGCAAAGCCAAAGACTTGCTTCTTAATGAGAGAGAAGAAAGCTGATTAATCAGCTGAGTCATCCTGCTCTGCCTCAGTGCTGGTATGAGTGGCATTCCCTATGGATCAGCCTATTCTGTGGGAAAAGCCAAACCATAATCAAGGCTAATTGACTGAGCTCAATCAGATGTTTCAAAATACTACCCATGAGTTTGACATCAAATAAAAAGCAGGGATATTCCCAGTCAGGCAGTTAATTGCTTCCTGAAAATTTGTTCTCTGCAATAATTTGAAGATTTTCACCAGTGCTCCTTTTTATTTCCATTTCCTAGGCTTACAGCAGGTTACAGTGTAATGTACAGATTAACAGACTGGAGCAAGACACTCGCCCTCTCACTTTTCTTCCTTCTGAATGATGCTGCAGTGCTGCCTTGTCTCTGGGACAGAAAATTTGCAGCCTCCAGGAGTTAAAACAACTTTTTAGAAGGTTTTAGAAAGATAAATAATACCATCTCCTTGCAGCTATTAGTACTAGCAGCAAAAATTGCAGTATTTTAGAGTAAAGCCAGTAGGCTTTTTAGTCATTATGTTTAGAGAATTAATCCCAAAAGGATATTTCTATGGGTTTTGTTTCTTACATACAGCAGAAATTGTTTCAAAGAGGAGCTGAAATGTCAGACTTTTTGCAAGAGTTTGTCTGGTGGAAAATAATGGTGGTGTTTAAACATTTGTCTGGTTCCTGATGTGCCCCAGGTTGTGTGCAGCGATGAAAAATCAGCAGCACATCTGTAAGTGAATCATCTTTTTCCCTGCACGCACATGGTTGCACAATTGTATCGACTGCTTTCTGTGATGAATATTTGATACTTGTCATGTGAAGCCATCCCATGCCATTGTAATATCAGAAATTCCAAGCACAATTAGCAACTGAACCTGATGTCACAGTTAATGAGCCCCAGTCCTCACAGCACACAGGATGAGCGTGGTCAGTGACACCAGGGCTGAGTGAAATCACAAACATCTGGCTGCAAACCCTCTACCTGGGTTGGACATTTCCTCATCTGGCTAAGAGTGCAGAGCAGGTGGGAGGACCTCAGGTGAGGCCCAGCATTAGGAAGAATCAGTATGGAATCCTGGAATGGTTTGGTTGGAAGGGACCTTAAAGCTCATCCAGCTCCAACCCCGACATCTCCCACCATCCCAGGGTGCTCCAAGCCCTTTCCAGCCTGGTCTTGGACACTCCCAGGGATCCAGGAACAGTCACAGCTTCTCTGGGAAATCCATTCCAGCCCCTCCCCATGCTCACAGGGAAGAATTCCCTCCCAATATCCCTCCTAAAACTTTCAACCTTTCTGTCCAGCCCTGCGAAGGGAAGTGTTTGGGTTTCACAAGGAGTCTGGGAACACCGAGCCCAGAGCTTCTAAAATGCTCCTTCAGCTTGGGATCTGCTGGGAAGGCCCTGGTGGGACCTCCCAGCTCTGGGATGGGAGTTTGGTCTTTGTTGTGGGGCCACAACAGGGGGTGCAAAATGACTTAATGGGTGTGGTGGTGTTCAAGCAAAGGTTGGACTCAATGATCTTGGAGATCTTTTCCAACCTTAATGATTCTGTAATAAATTCCATGATCTTTTTTCCCACATAATCATGATTCTTGTTTGTATTTCACTTAAAAATCCATCACTCTTGTGCAGCAGGACATGAACACAGGTGCCACAGGCTTCACACATTCTGTAGCTCCCCAAAAAACACTCAGAAAACTCCCATTCCAAATCTCAACTTCGATGGGGGTTGTGCCAACATTAATTAGTACAAATAACCTGATATATTTGAAATTAGCTGTCATTATAACACTTAACCCCATATGTAACTACATATTTTCCTTGTCTGGATATTTGCTGTGCACCTTGTATTTATTACAGTGTTATTTGTTAATGCTTTTGTGTGGTGAATCAGTTGTCAGGAAGAATCATTGTGGTTACAAAAAATGGGTTTTATAGTGAGCTGGAAGGAAGAAAATATGGATGAGGATGGAGTAGGAGGAGACAGAAGATGGCATTTGTAGCCAGATGTGATTTGTAGTATGAAAATATTAAATGCTGTTGAAAAGTGGGACCCCACAGATTATTGACATAATTGTGGCAATAGGAATAGATTTTTCTTTGGTATTTGCCTGTTTTTGCTAGAATTTTCATCAGATGATGAATACATGACAATTTTACATTGTCTAGCAGAAAAAAATGGCTTATTATTCTATTTTTTTCAATAACATGTGTCTAGCAGATTTCTAACAGAACCATCTTTTTAAAGAAGCCTCCTGTGATTGAATTTTGCATCTTTCAACTTTTCTCTGGGGTTACTTTGCATTAGTATTACGTTCAAAGCAATAATCAAGGTCTAAGCCTTACAAGATCCTTTTTTGCCTGCTTAAAATGAAAACCAGAGGGGAGTTTTGCTGATTAGGTGTGTACTTCAGTTCTGTGCTCAATGCCAGAGTTTAAATACATGTCACTTGGAAATGAGCTTTTGCAAATTCAAAGGGAGAGAAATGAACTTTAAATCTGAACTTTAAACCTCACATCAGTTTTCCTGTGGCACTGGAGATGTGTTATTTTCACAGAAAGTGTTTCCTTTTGCTTTCAAGTGATGGCACAAGCAAGTGCTGAAGACTGAATTCAAATTACTCAAATTCTTTTAAAATTTTGAAATACTGAACAAAGGGAAGAAATCAAGGTCATAAAATGGTTTTCTAATTTTTTTTTCTTTCAAAGAGGAGGGAAGAAATGAGAAGGAAAGGGCCACACA